TATTTGTTATTTATTGAATTTAGAGAGAGAGGGAGGAATAGAGAGAGGGGGGGGAGAGAGGGAGAGAGTGAGGAATAGAGAAAGAGATTGAGAAAGATTGATTTGTTTTTCCACTTATTTATGCATTCATTAGTTGATTCTATGTGCCCTGACCAGGATCAAACCTTCAACTTTGGTCTATTAGGACAACTCTCTAACCAACTGAGCAACCTAGTCAGAGGCAAGGCATGTGTCTTAATTTAGACCAATGAGAGCAGGAAGCGTTTTCTGTGGACTTCTGGAAAAGTGTGTGCTTTCTCAACTATTAACACTCATAAGCATTTCTGCCTCACTCCTACTAGGTGTCACTTTTATAGATACACTAGAGGTCCGGTGCACAAAATTCATGCGCTCGGCGTGTTGGGGGGGGGGTCCCTCAGCCCACCCTGGGCCCTCTCACAGTCCAGGAACCCTGCAGGGATGAAGCAGGAGAGGCTCCCGCCACCACCACTGCTCTCTCCAGCCATGAGCCTGGCTTCTGGCTGAGCGGCGCTCCCCCTGTGGGAGTGCACTAACCACCAGGGGGCAACTCCTATATTGAGTGTCTTCCCGCTGGTGGGTCAGTGTGCGTTATAGCACTGGGCGTTCTGCTGTTTGGTTTATTTGCATATTAGCTTTTTATTATATAGGATGACCTGATATTGCTGTAGACATCAGGATCCCAGATGGAAAAATCAGACATTGACAAAAAGGTGGAGCCTAGAGAATCTCTGTTAATACCTGCAGCAAATCATGGAAATGTAAGTTTTGTTTTCTGTAAACCAGTTTAATTTGGGTAAGACAAATACAGTCTAGTGTGTTTTTTGAAAAAACAAAAAAACAAAAACAAAAATTAGAAGTTTGTAAAATACAATATATATTACATTTTTAAGGCTTATTCTATCTACAAGAAGCCAAAAATAAAATTCCCAATGACACATGAACTGAAAATTCTTCTGACATTTTTTATGTTCTGTAAATTTGCTCCTTTATTCACAATTAATTACATGATTTTTTGGCTTAAGTTCATTGAACATCCAATTGAGATTAAAGATTCCCCGAGTTGGCATGCTAATAATTTCAAACTCTGAGTCATTAGTATTATGTTTGCACAACTGAATCAGCATTTGTCTTGTGTTTTTTAATTACATTATTTCAAAAATATATTGGAAAATTATTTTGAAAGTGAGCAAATGTTAAATAAATAAAAAAAGCATACTGCATAATTGGACATTAGGCAGTATTATTCAGTTGGTGTACAAAGTTAAATGAGTTTGTGGACATCAGTAGATAACTTTACTATGTGTATTATAAATGCACTGAAGCCTAAGAGGATATTTTTTTTTCCTGTTAGTGTATCCTAAGTGTCTCTGCTTTTGCCGATAACCTATAAGGAACTCGAGATATACTTGTCTAATGAATAGATGGTTTTCCAAAGTCCTGATTGAAACACTAAATGTCTTTCATCAAAACTAATATATTCTTTATTTTAGTAGAGAGTAACTGAAAAGTGTGAAAGTTCAGTTAGTCTGCTGTGTTTGGGGTTATACAGTTTTGCCATGAGAAATACAGACGTTCATAAAACAAAATATCCGTCAACTCAGTTCAATACCCAAATATTTATTTAAACCTTTCAACCATTTGGACTGAGAACATTTTATTGGATGAATTTGACAGAGCATAATGTAAATAAGAACCTCTGCTTTTTCTCCGCCCCCTTGCCCTTACATCTTTTCCATGGCATCATTCATTTTCCTCTGCTCATTGACATCTCTGATGGGTTGTATAGGTTTTACAGTCTCACAAAGTCAAAGCTCCTCTGCTCCCTCTCAAGTACTAAGAGTCCATGCCACATGCTTCAGTCTTGACTAGTATAAAAGTATTTATTTAATGTTTAAATTATTCCTCTTATTCATCCCCTGCCTGCTTAGGTATGGCAGCCCACAGAGGAAAAGCAGCCCTTGAATCTCTTCCTTTTTTTCTTACTTGCCACCTCCTCCACTCCATAGCGTTCATCCCTGACCCCTCCATGTGACAGACAAAGGCAGGGGAGATTGGAAGTGAGGGGCAAAATCTGACAAGACTGTAGAGTGCTGCTTGTGCCTCAGTGCCTTCTGGGAGTTGTGGGTATGTACTGCTAACTCCCTAATTCCATGGGATGTTTGAGTGGGTTACTCAGACATCTACCACCAAGAACTTTATGATTGGCATTGGTATCTTGGCTTAAGCCGTGTGATTCCTCTAGATCATTTATTCCAAGTAAAAGCACTCAAAAACCTAAATTACAAACTTCATGATTAATTTACCCTCAAGTTCCTCTTTAACTTCATCCAGTACCTAACTGATCACATAGTGTTATACATGGTCTCCAGACCTTAGTATTAATTTCACCATTATGTAACATTCCTATTTTCTTTGAGTTAGTTTTTTTTCTTAAAATATACGTTAATCTAATATTAATATCACTGCACCAAATTTATTTTGTTCTCCTGGAATGATATAGATATCCTTTATATTTGAACATTTTCACATGTTATATTTGATTCCCTTGAAAATAATTTAGATATTATTTTACTAGTAATTCAGTCTGATTATTTAGGTCTTATAGAGTGTTTCAACCATTATGATGATTGATTTGTTTTGGTTTGGTTAATTACATTATTTTGTATTTTCTATTTAGCATCTTTATTTAGGTATTTTTTCATTTTCTGTTTTCTATTTTATTAACCATTTTTATTTACTTTCTTTTATTGCCACTACTATATAAAATTTGTATAATTATTTTTTCAATGGTTACCCTAAAATTTGCTATATGCATATTGATTTAATAAAATTTTTATTAAACTAACATTTGTTTCTAAGGAAGCAGTCCAATCTCCAGTTACTTCCTATCCTCTTATATATCATTTTTTTTCTTAATACTATCTGATGCTATATTAAATATTTTGTTTATCATTTTGTTCATCTTACTAGAGCATAAGTTCCAAAAATTTTATCTGTCATCATCATTGTATATTCTCAGTGTCTTGGCAATGCTAGTCACATTTAGGCACCCCATAGGTAGGTTTTCAATAAATATTTAGGAAATACTGTTTGTTTTCATAAAGTAAGATTACTATATATAATAGAACAGTACCAACAAATAAATTTTCCTTTTCTTCTTATTTCTAGGTTAAAAAAAGAAAAGAAAACTTTGGTTCATGTGGTTTGGTGGCAGTTTCCATGGTGATTGAGGGGAAATAAAGAGGAGAAAAAAATGTTACAGTTATAACTCTTTTCTCCCTCTTTCTTTCTTTATTTCTTTTTTCATTACAATGGCCAGATATTCGATGTGTAACAATCAGCTGAAACACACAGTTTACCATGTTCTCTGGAGCAAAATTAGTTTTAGAAATTTTAAAATATTTTATTGAACAAATATTGACTTGATACCTGACCAATTCCATACAGCCTATGACCTTAGAGATGACTTAGAGATGAGTAAGACTCTGATTTTGACTGTGAGGTATGCATAGTCTCGCAGAAAAGATGGACATGTAAACATGTCCATTGATTATAGTAGTTCCCAGTGCTTTGCCCTTTTCTACTATGCGTTTCTGCAGACAATTAACTATGAGCCCAGAAAGGTTTTGGAGGTTGCCTTACAAAACTATTCTTAGCACCACTCTGTTTTTCACCTAATTTTAAAAACACTTTATAGATGCAATATTTGTGTCCCCCCAAATTCCTATGTTGAAACCTCACTTCCAATGTGATGGTATTTATAGACTAATCCTTTGAGGGGTGATTAAAGCATAACAGCAGAGTCCTCATGAATCGGATTAATGCCCATATAAAAGAGGCCCCAGAAATCTTCTTAATCCCAACCTGCATGTAAGATAACAGTGAGAAGACAGCTATATATGGATCAGGAAAACGGTCCTCCCCAGACACCAAATCTATCAGTGCCTTGGTCTGGGACTTCCAGTCCCCAGAGCTGTGAGAAAGAAATTTATGTTGCTTATAAGTAGTCTATGGTAATTTTGTGATAACAGCCTGAACATGCAAAAACCACCCATTATAGTCCATCGTGTGTAATTTCATCACTGACATAGAGCCGTCATACATCTTACTTCGGGACTTTAGGACATTTTTTGCTTTGATTGAAAAACTCTTCTACAAAGGATTACACACTTATTCACCCTGTTCTTATTCTTGGTCCTAGAGACCTTCCTTCATCACCTGCTATAACTGTGCCTCTGTTTCTCCTTATCCCTGCCCTTGCTCATTCTCTAATACCCATATCATTACCTGAAATTATGTCTCATAGTTGTTTGTTTGTTTATCAGTAACTTGTCAGTCTCCCTAGTTTAATAAGTCTATGAAAGAAGAATCCTCATCTATCTTGGTTAATCTTGCAATTTTAGTGGCTAAATAGGTACCTTGAATACCAGTAGGTGTCCACTGAATGTGCTAAATGAATGATTAAAAAATCCCAAGTAACAAAAGGTTTTACCGTGTGTACATAAACTGGATGCACTGGGAAGCTGTTAGAAAAATAAGCTCCCCAAAGTAAATATTTACCCTTTACTGCCTTTTATTAAACACTCTAGAGTTAAGCAAACTAGAAAGTGGAAATGGTGCCATAGGCCAAATCACATAATATATTAGGCCTGAGGGGTTATGGCCAGAGTGCTCTTGTCTGTTCATTTCAAAACACTATCCCCAGATTTTGTTCTGTACACTTGGGACCCTTTAAAAGTTCAGAAATGTTTTAAAGTTTCAATATGTTTTGAAGGTGGTTTTGAGGTTTCCTTTTTCCTTATATTCAACACACTTTTTATATTCTATCTGGAACCATAACTTTAAATTATTTGAATACCACCAGTGTATTAAATAGAAAGAAGTTATGCTAATTTTGACAGATTGCCATTAAATTGTGCAGACATAAGGAAAATTAGGCACTACACTTTTCATCTCCATATTGGCTGGCTCATTAAAACCCTCCCTCAATATGCCTACTACCACTTCCAATAATAAAATTAGTGAATTCTATAATAATAACATTCCCAAGAACTTTTAAGTTTCATTGTTGATTATTATAAATAATTATTTATTTTAAATATTAATTTAAATGTTTAATTCTATTTGCTTCTAAAGGCCATAAAAATGAACCAAATTAATAAGGGAAATTATTAGGCAATATCAGCATAGTCAAACATGAACATTTAATCCACAAGAGAAGAATTTCAACAAGTTAACATGTATAATATTTTATCTGACTGGTAGCCAAAGTTATGCAAATTATAATACTATCTAATTTTGATTGAAAGAACATTGTGTGTCAGATGTGGTTCTAAGAACTTAGCATAAATTAACTAATTCATTCATTATAATAATCTTATTAAAATAGCATTATTATCATTATAATCCTAATTTTATTAACAAGGATCTCTTGGGTGAAGTTTGTATATAAAATCAAGATATCCATGTCTCAGAGAACACATCCTTATCCAATATGCAATCCTGCCCTGCTCAACTCTATCTACTTCTCTCTGCCTGCATAAATGCTCATATTAAACTAAGCATGCATTTACCATACAGTTGAGCAAATGAACTT